TAATACTCTCAATACTTCTATTTAGCTACTTGTACTCAAAGAAACTCGATACTTGACGAGTATTACTATAACAACATATTACAAAACAGAATTTCATTTCCTGCAAATAAACACTGTTACTTGCAGCAGTTTCTTTCTCTTACCCTTAAAAATTCTGTTATAACCAATTAGGTCGCAGTACAACTATAACCAAGTATGTTATGGCGCGCACTAAAAAAGGTTGAGAATTACGCAGCACTTGACAAGGAACTTACGGCAAGCATTAGTTGCAATTGGCAAGGGTTGCATTTTATTGCGTCAGTATTTATAATGAAATGTCAGTGCATATTATGAAACTATCAGTGTTTTAATTAGAATATTTATAAATTTAATATTATCATTTATGAATAATTTAATTAATTAATAATCAAAAAAAATACCGATCAAATAAACAAAATGTGTTTTGATCCATTGAATTTTTGGTCCTGTAAAAATTCATCATGTTAAGGGATGAAACCAACGAAATTAAACGGTAATTCCTCTTTCCTGGACATTTTCTAAAAAATATAGGCATGTTGAAAAGGTGGTACAATGCATATACCATAGCCTCTCAAAGAGTTAAAGATACTTCCAAAGTACTTGTTGAATTGAGATAAATATGCAAGTTTTTTTTTATTACTGATTCAATAATAATTTCGTAGAAACAATACATTTAGTAAATTTTATAGTTTTCTAACAGTTACAGAAAATTTAGGTGTTGGATTCAATAACACATGTTTATTTATTAAGTTAAGTATGTACCAGTACCTGGTAAAAACCATCAAGTACTTAACTATCGATTTATATGCGACAATTAAGAAATGTATGTCATATATGGATGATTAATTTACTATATTAGAACAAATAATTGAATTTTAGCAAAAAGTAGATGATTGGCACTTTATATTTAATTTTTAAAAAAATATATAGAAAAGTTGCAGTCCAAAATAATTATATTGATTTGTTTTGCTTTATTATCAGACAATTCTGGTATGTTTATTTATAGAGTAATGAAGCACTTGCAATATCTTTGTTTAGAATATAAATGGAATTGTGTGTGCCTGTATGTGCTTTTTTTTCTGGTAGCAAAACGCGGGGTTTAATGTGTAAAATGTACGTGTACATTTGTAATGCAATTTCACGCCACCAACCACGAGCACGAGCACGTGTACGACACCGTGAATCCGGAATCCACGTGCGCTCCACGGTGCGGTGGTGGTAGCCACCGTTTGCAACCCCCTAACACACAATCTCTCTCTCTCCGTCTCCTTGGAAGTCACCCTCTTTGCAGTCGACTTGCCCAGTTTTTATTAATGTCTCTTCACATTCGGTTGATATGATCGAGTCGTGCATACATTTCCAAACTCTGTAAACCTCCCTTCGTTTCGCTAACAAACCCAAGCGAGTTGCATCTCAGCCAAGCGGATAAAAAAAGAGAGGAAATCTAGTCGCGTCGGGCGAATCTTGAACGCCAAATTTCAATTTAAACTCTTTATCGGACGTGTGAAAAATCGCGGGCCCATTTTGGCCTCGGGATAACTATGGATATTTCTCTATGAGCACGTCCGGGGTTGGCGCCTACCAAGGAAGACCGCCTCCCTACGACGATGCCAACTGCACACATCTTCCGCCCCAGATACCACCCTGGACGCAGGACTCCAGATCATGGCACACGCCGCATCTAGCACAGCATCAAACTGCTATACCCTTTAAGAAAACCATTCCACAAGGTATTTTATTTTTTTCATTCTGCAAATACTCTACTATCATCACTATCATGCATAAAGTGAATAAACTTATAAAATCTCAATAATTCATCGAAATTATTTATTATCAATAATAAATATTAGAATTGACCACAGAAAATACTCTTTTAAATCGCCCGTTTCTTTGACGCATTGTATATAAATTAAAGTCAGAACTTGAAACATTTTTGGAATGAATTAATTTATAAAAGAATAATTCAGTAGATTATGTCAATGAGACAGAGTAAATACAAAAAAAAGTTACAAGAAATTGTGTAAATTAGCGTTAAAACAATTGAATTAAATTAAACTTCATTTTTGCATTTCCTTCTCGCCATAGCTTACTTGCAAATATTGTTTATCATTGTTTAAACAATTGAATCAAATATACATTATTCATGTATTTCGATATCTTGAAAATATTAACCAATATTATAACAAAATAAGTAAATTAAATAAATCAGATAAAGTAAATAAAATAATTAAAAGAAATAAAAAATTAAAATAATTAGATTATATCAATAAATCTGTGATTATAATAAATTATTATCAAGTAGGCTTGTATATCTGTAAAGGGCAGATTGTAAAGTGAAGGGAGAAGGTAGGTGTCGTGTCTTGGAAGAGAAGTATGGCAATCGGGTGAAGAGCTTTCACGAAATTGCCTCATATTGGAGCTCATCTAATTTTCATATCATTTCGGTATTCTCAAGGGTACATTACATTATCATTTATATTTTGATATTCACGTGGACACGTTATTCAAATGCACCCATTTTTCAATACGCTGAGTGTCCCCTAATAGCTTTTGCGCAATATTGCAATAAGATTACCATTATTCCATTATTCTTTCGCAAATTAATTTACTCGAAAGCCCGATTATTATTTTATTTACTAAGAATTTCCATATGTTTTTTTTTATATAAAATATTAATTGATCTATTGTCTATGTAGTCTAATGATCAATTAAATTAAATTAAAAAAAAACAATTAATTGTGTTATATTCAAGTCTACATTTAAATTTAAATCCATTAAAAAATACTTTAAGTCATCATTTCTTGTAAATATTAGTCATACTTAATTGTATTAATAATAATGTCTATAATACTAATTTAATATATAACTATTAATTAATATTTAACTATAAATCAATATTTTTGTCATTAAAAAGCAAAATCTAATTAAAATTAATTGAATGCTCGAAACTTATAGTAATGGTATTTTTTTTGTCATTCTACAAAATTTGTTATATATACTGTTTGTGATAAAGTACGAATAATTGTAGATTAAATAATAATTTTAAAAAGTTCATTTTATATGAATAAAGCAAACGGGGAAATAACAGAAAGACGTGTAACGATTGAACTAAATAAAAAGGTTAGAGGTCAGAAGAATAACAATTTATAACACGTTTCGTGTATAAATCAAACAGGAAACAAAAATGAACTATTTGAAGCTACAATTAAATTTATTATTTAAACAGGAAATAGGTCAATAGTACATTTACTAATTTACGCTCAATTAATATTTCTGTATATTAAAGATTTTCTTATAAATAGTTTTTTTTTAATAAAAAAATAAATAGTCATTTTTCTTCATCGACAAACATTTTGTACAAAAAAAAGCTACTTACAAGTAAACACAACTATTATGATCGATTGAAAAACTGTAGTTTATTTATAGTTTATGAGATTTATTCGAGTTAAGTGGTAATAAAAATGAACAACATTAAAAATGAAGAATTGCAATATTGTAGAACAAGTTTTAAATATCTGCAAACTCTTTTTCTTCTCTTTACTTAAGTATAGCAATTTTTAATGAATTTATCTTTTTTATCATTTTTTTTTAAATAAATACAAATTTCTGTTTAATTTTCTTAGATTTGTCAAGAAATCTTATAGCAAATACAAATATTACAACAATAATTTATAGAGAAGTAAAAATATTCAGCTAAATTGGTCATAATTGTTTCCAATATGTTAAATAATGTTTAATAATTTGTTATGAAATTTAAATGAAAAATAACTAAATTCATTTATTTATATCAAAATAAATGTTTATATTTTCTTTGAATAAAAAAAAACTGCATGTAACGCAAATTGTGTAGTATTATCTTCGAACTAGTAGTATTTTATTTGGTAAAACTAGGACAGATATAAGTAAAGACATAATAAAGCAAAATATTCAGCAAAATAATCATTCAAATGGAAAATGTTTACAACTATTATCATGAAATAAATTGAAAAAAAAGTTTATATTTATATTTTCTTAAATCCAATTTTGCAGGATTATTTCCAAAAAGAAGTATTTTCTTCAGTCAAAAAAAGAATAATAAAGCAAAATATTCATCTAAACTGATGGTTTCATTAAGTTAATGTAAAAAATAACTAGGAAAACTAATTTATTAATTTAACAAATTAATATTTATATTTATTAAGAAATACTTCAGTTGACTCAAATTTTGTAGGATTAACTTCGAGAAAGAAGTATTTTCTTCTATAAAAGGACAAAATTTACTAAATTATGAAGCAAAACATTAAAGAATCTATTAAAAAAAATACTTAGGTTAACGTGAAATTGGTTGGATTGTTTTTGAAAAAGAAGTATTTTTTTTTGTAAAAGTTGGACAAACATTTAACATATTCTTCTAAATTTATTATTAATCTAAAGTAATACTGAAATTTATTTAAAAAGAACTTCAGTAAATATTGTAGAATTATCTTCGATAAAAAAAAGTATTTTCTTAAGTGCTCCTAAAAATACACAAATGAAGCAAAATATTCTGGTAAATTTATAGCTAAGATAAAATTTTAAAAATTTCTTTAAATTAATATGAAAAATGACTACAAAAACTATTTTTTCATCTAAATTAAAGAATAATTAAAGTTATTTACAAATAACTTCAGTTAACGCAATTTTTTTAGGATTATCTTCAAAAAAGAAGTTTTTTCTTTAATGTTTCAAAAAAATAAATAAATGAAAATATTTAGCTAAGATAAAATATTAAAAAATATTTTATAATTTCTTTTAATTAATATGAAAAATGACTAAAAAAACGATGTATGTAGGAAGTATTTCTTTCGGTAAAAGAAGAAGTGCAAACATGAATTAATAATGAAGCAGATTATACGTTTATTTGGTTCCGAAAGAAGCGATGGTTAATATGTACGCTATTAATATTAAATGTTTCGTACGTGAAGAGTTTGAAGAAAGTCGATGTCGAAATAGTACTTAATTTCGTATTATTATTATTATTTTTTGGTGGGGAAACGTATATAATTGGTGTGCCAAAAAATTAAAAAAAAAAGCGAAAGTGTATGAGAAGAGGACAATGGTTAATTAATGAAGGAAGAAGGAGCGATGCGACAAACCGACGAGTGTGCTGTATGTATGTGTATGTATGTACGAGAGAGTGAGTGTGGGTTGTTTGTGTGTGAGAGAGTGTGTTTGTGTATACGAGGAGGCACACATATACACGAGCACATGCAAGACAATACGGAGCACCTTCCGGCATTTGCGAAACATGATCAGATCCCCACCTATCCGTTCAAAATACCGTGATAGAGGAATAGAGGTGTGTGGCCCATTCACTCGCAGGAGTCTCCAATCAGTTGCTATTCTTCCGGCTCGGTGATATGGCTGCAATTTAGCATGTTAATTTAAGTATATGATTTAGTAGTATAAATATATACAACATGAGTTTTGTGGTACCTGTGAAAGAATCTCTAATGGAATATCAGTTACCGCCGCCAGTGTCCGCTCCGAATGTCGGAGCCCATCAAGTACCAATAGGCGTCATGCAGGGTACTCTTACCCACGTGCAGGCCCAGGACGACTCGAGCAGATGGACCCAGTACCAACAGCTCTGGAGGCAGCATGTTTACATAAACGGTACGACCCTACAACAACAAAAAATAATTAAAGAAAAAGAAACATCTTTGACGAAGAATCACATCAAAACTCTTAAAGAAACAAATTATGCACTACCTTCTTCGATTATCATTTATATAACGAAACGTACAACCCTGCGTACCAACAAACAATAACAAAAAAAAATATAAACCACCAAAAAACATAAACCAAAATAATTCACAACCTTCTTCATTATTATTATTTAATTTTTTTGTTTAATTCAAACGTAATGAATGCACCACAATGAAAACGATCACGTGACGCCGTCGTCCTTCAAAACTCATCACAAAACCATACGCTTTTTTTTATTTTCTCTCTCGTTACTTTATTTTTTTTTTATATATATTTCCGCGAACATCAGAAACGAAGGGTTTCCTCCGAAACCGCAAATGTGTCCGTAATACCTTCTTTCTCCATCCCTCACTTATTATACACGTTATTAACGTCAACTTTTAAACCCTTTAATCGAAACTGTTGTTATTTATTTGTCGGCTTAATTAGCGATAAACAATATTTGACCTTCGCATCTTCCAATTGAATTGCGTTTACTCGTTTTTTTGTGTGTATATTATTATTTTGTGGCAATGCTAGAGACACGACAATGAGAGGTGTGTTTATTATGATAATGGACAATTTGGGTCCGATGCTATTTACATGAATCAGTGACTCCGCTCTAGTCGAAATTGCATTATCAACACACATACAACAAAAAGAAAATCATTAACTAAACCGTACACGCCTCAACCATTCATCTTCGAAATTAATCGAAATTCGAGCAATTTCGTGTAATCACTTTTCCTCTTCATCGATTAAACCTACCACAATTTATTTAATATTAATACTATTTCAATCCTTCAATTTATAATATATTTATCAAACAATTCAAAGATCATAATTTCTTTTTTAATTACATTTTTACATCTGTTTTCTTTTTCATTTAAACTTACTACAAACTATTTAATATTATTAGTTTTTTTATATAAAATATATATGTTTCACTTAATATAACTTTATTTATTAATATTTGTTAATATAACAAATATATAAACTAAATTATCACAAAAAAAATAATCGTACAATTTTTAATACTACTTTTACATCACTTCTTTAATTCTTATTAATTCCACAAATTCATGCAATTTTATCTCCTTAATTTAATAAGAAACAAATTGTTTAATTACACTTGTATTTAAAAAGCTTTCGATACTTTTTTTTAACAAAAATTAACTTATAAATTTTTATTGTGAATTTCATATTATTTTGAATTTTAGATTTTTTTTTAAATTATTTTTTTTTTATTAAATAAATATTCTAAAATATAAATTGATTGTATACGAATTATTATATAGATTTAGTTTAGAATTGAATGAATTATAAATTTTTTAAAATGTTTAATTTAAAAGAAATTTGTCAAAAAAATTCTTGGAAAATGGAAATCAGAAATTATACTAGACTAAATTATTATAATTCAAATTATGTATGAAATTATTTTAATTGTTTGAGGATAGACGATGAAAACAAATAAAAATATTTGAGTCATGTGCTGCAAAAGTTTCCATGTTAATCTAATTGTTTATTTCTTAGAAAATGCACACTCAAAGCCTCAAACACAGAGAAAAAACACATTATTCACAATTGTTATTTACTCTTTTTTTTTGGACTTATCAGAAAACGAGATGTTTTTCCATTCCTAACATGATGAGATCAAGATGCACCTCTCTTCCGAGACGTGATCGTTGCGCGATATTCCGGACACGAAGCGATAGTTAAAAATGTGTGTTCTGATCTCGTCTTTCTATGTTTTTCGTAGTTTAGAAATAGAAGGAACAAGGGAATCGATCCAAAGATATATTCTACGTGTCCGCAATAAAGAGTAAATGATTCTTCTCCTCGTACCCTTCGCGAGGAGAAGAAGTACGCAAGGAAACGCAACAATTTGCATAATGTATTCCACTTTTGTACTCGATCTACAGACAAGTTCTATTTTATATATATATTTATATACACTTAAGTCTTAATAACATCGCGTATTCCTGGAAAAAATAAATGCACGACATTTGGAACGCAATTTGAATTCTCGTTCTTGCAATTATGAGATTATTGCTGGATGATCTATTTGCTTGTAAAAAAAACATAGCCAACTATAATAATACGTTAGAAATAAGTTTATACTTCCAAATAGACTTAGTTTATATAAATTATCAATTTATTTACTCCAAAAATGAATTATCTAGAAAAAAGAAAAGAACCAATAAACTTAAGCTATTAAAAGCGCATTTTATTAAGACAACTATAAAATTTATATACTCTGCATTGAATTTAGTAATAAAATAGTTTTATACTTAAGTACAAATATTGTTAACAAAAGAAAAAGCTTAAATAACTATTATTTAAGTTGTACAGGAATTTGATTTGGAACATAGTAATAATAATAATAAAAAAAAGCGTTAAAGTTGGGATTTCAGAAATAAACGCATTGGAATGCGTTCGAAATAAAATTGAATAAGTATCTTGATTCGAGTTTCAAGCTACGCCATTAACTGCAGAGATAAAGGTTGATTTCTTGTTTATGGCCTTTCACAATTTGACATTTTTCTTTGAATTTGTATAAATCACTGTAATTGGCATACATTAATAAATAATAATTTCTTATTTTAATAAGTATTTTCATTAATTAATTATTGATATAAAGAAAGAAAAAAACATTTTCATATTTTGATACAACAATTTTTTGATACCTAAATCATTTTGATCGTTTTCATCTATTTTTGTCATATCTAACGTATTGCCATGTTTTTATACTTCAATAAATAACTAATTATCAAAGTATTTGAAATGAGTTTAATTAAACCAAATGTGATGAGAATATTTTGCAGAATATCTTCCGCACAAATGACTTAAACTCGCTTTTTTATATTTCATTTAGTTTTGAGGAAGCGCATTTCTATCCATTCATTTGAACAAAAAAATCAACGATCGAAACGCCCCGTATAAGGTTTATGGCGGTGTGTACGTGTGCGTATGCAGGCGTGTGTTTCTTTTCCAACTCGAAACCGATTAATTAATCTCCGAGGAGGCACCAAAACCGGCGAAGAACGAGAACCGCAGCAAGAAAGTTTACCAACCACACTCTTGCCCTACACACAATCGAAACAGAAAATGAATAGAAAAAAAAATAAATGTGTGCAATGATGTAACGTTTCTGTGCAGCGAATGAAAATTGCGAAAATTAAAGGAAAAAAAAATATAAATAAATAGTTGAAAAAAAAAAGAGTAAATTCAAATAAAAGTAGAAAGTATTTTTGCAGATATTTATATGAGATTTGTGTGATTAGAAAATGGTAATATTTGCGTAATTGGTTTGGAAAATGTGTGTTTTTCTTAGTATGGTTTTGGTTGAAGGAGGTTTGAATGAAAAGGAGAAGAGATACGAAATTATGTTCTAATCCCGGAAGAGTACTTTTGCGAGCGGAGAAAGTGTTTGGTTCTTACTCTGGTAACGTGGAATCGGTCTGTGGGACGCAGACGGCGGATTGCGAAACTCCTACGTACTAATGTCACGCATTTACCAAGAGGTTTACCTGCACATTTTTTATATATTAACTTCACGCTGAAATAAGTAAAACAAAAACGATTAAGTTTTCGTTTCCACCTTTAAATGGAATCTTTTCGAGTGTCTCACAATGAAACGTCATTCGCTGTCAAGTAATAATTGAGAAAAGTTTAATCGCAGCAACAAAAATAATAATAAAAGAATACAATACAATGCGATATTATTTTGCTGCAAGTGTAATTTATGTATTCTTCGCAATAACAACAATAACATCAATCGTAATAACAAATTGCATGTGATTCTTGGAATTCATTACAGGAAGTGTATGATTAGAAACATCCTTACGAAGCGGCGACATGAAATAGCACCGAATCCCATTTGATTATCGAAAGCTGGCATTGGATGCAAATTGAAATGATTCGATGCACATATTTTTTTTTGTTTGTTTAAACTTTCGTTTAGAAATAGATTACGTTTTCATCCTGTGCGAAAAAGGATAATAACAAGGAGAGAAAAAAATAATTGCTAGAAACGAGATTGAGAGTGAACATTACAAACGAATCTGTATGGTCTTGGTTTCGTTTTAATTGCCATGGCCAATTGAATCTCGGAAGAGAAAACCGTTTCCCATTGGCTCCAAAATAATCGTGGATGAAAAAGTAAAAGTTTATGTATGTATGTATTATATATATTTGGCAAGCGCGAGACGTTTTTAATGCCCCCATACAGGCTCATGTTTATTTTCGTACGAAGACACGGACCACTCCGTGATATTTGGGAACTTTCGCCTCGGCATTTCTTCCGGGCTACCTCCAACCCCCACCACATTCGCACCACATAAATTAAACAATTTCGACAAAGTAAAAGTGAACACGCCGACTTTTCTTTTCGTTGCTGTTGCTGCTTCTTATTATTATTTATTTATTTTTTTATTTCTTGTTGGTATGTTCACATTAAATGCGGTAGGTCAATCTCACTCTCTTTTTGACCAACCAATTCTTTAGTTTCTTCGTTTTTTTGATATAAAGGAAGTTCAACCCCTCATCATTTATTTTTTTATGTATATATTTCTGTTCATTCAACCAATTATTTCATGTTCATTTCTAGCAGCTTGGAAACAAAATTTGATATTGGCGCGTTTCCATTAAAGATATTTTTTCATCCAATTAAGTATTTCGTTCACATCTTCAATAGCTTAAAATTTGAATTTGTCGTGATTCCATCAGCATGAGAACATACTGTAATATTTGTCTTTTCCTACATTTATTTCTTTCTCATCTTCAACAACTTGCAAAAGTTTGAATTTGTCGCATTTCTATCATCAAACTTCAATCTTACAACATTTCTTTCTTTTATTTTTATAGATTTCTCTATTAATCCAACCAATTATTTCATACTCATCATCAAACAGCTTGAAAATAAAATT